CATCAGCACGCAGCTCGACCAATCCACAGGCGCTGGACAATTGACGCTTTGCGTGCCTGGAAATCAAGCTTTCTCACGCAACTCCGTCCTTGCTGGGCCAACATCGGGCCTCGGGCAACAGCATGAGCGACGACAAAGCACGAGCCCGGCGACAGGACGAACGATGCTGTCGGCTTGCGGGCGGAAGCGGTTGAGGAAGCGAAGCGGAGCGGTCCACAGATCAGGGGTCTGCTATAGCTAAGCCCGGACCGCCATCATCGGTTGTGGCGTTCTCCACCTGTCTTGTCTTCTCCTCCTTCTGTCTTTCCATCTGGAGATGTCCGGTGCGCTGATTAGCGTGCATGAGCCAAGAAGCCACACAGAAACTGTCTACTGGTACTACTGCACTACTCCATCGGTCCAAAGGCGGGGGTCTGGTCTGATGGGGCGAGTAGCGCATCATGCGACCGACAAAGTCGGATGGGCGCGTGCTGTTCGTTGGTCGAGGTGCCTACTGATAAGGATTCACGATTGAAACTTCATTCGCCCAGACTCATGATCAGCATGCGCAACAGCCTGATGTTGAGCGAGTCGTGATGAGTGTGAGTGACTTGCGCGGCGTGCTGTATGCAGCCCATCTGCACCTTTTTGCTCCTTGCCATTCTGCCGTTCCTGGGAGCCGGCCAAAGACGTGCATGCATGCATCGAGCAGCCGCTGCGGTGCACCTCGACAGCAGAAGCGGTCGCAGCGTTGCGAAGTCGGGGTTGTCGGAGTGATGAATTCGCATTCACATTCTGCAGCGATCATGCAGCAGATGCAAGCGAACAGCGCGCGTTCAGCAGTCGTTGCTGCGATCACGCAAATTGGGAAGGGAAGGTGAATGCAACAGCAGTCACGAGTGCTGACCTGACAGACTCTTCAAGTGCCTCACAGGTAGTCGCCCGATAAGCGTCAAAGATAAGGCAAGCCAAGGTCTTGAGCTGTTCTTGGTACACACACACAAACCGGCTCTTTGGAACAAGCAAATCAAGGTCAAGCTTGTGCTGCCGTTGTGTGGCGGCCGTACGACTGTCCTAGCTGCGCATCATCAGCGCTTACATCAACACCTTGGCGATGGAGAATGTGAATCAAGAATGTGAATGGCCGTGAACAATCGTGGATGTGTGGATCCCCCAGGTCTGGAAGGACGCTGCAGGGAGAACTTCGAATGGTCTTACTTGCTCCGCGATCCCCGCACGACGTAGCACGAGGCGCTGGATCGATCAGAATTGCATGAACGTAAAGTCTGGTAAAATGTCGCCGGGAGCTCTACCTTGCGAGAGGCCGGATCAGAATGCAAGCACCAAGTCACACGTCTGTCTGGCTGTCACGTCACTGGCTCAGGGTCCGGCGAGTGGCAGTCTGATAAAGGGGCATTCGTCGGTTCATCGGTTCACGCCTCAGTCTCAAGACACACGACCTCACGACGGTGTCAATGAATGCTTGATCGCCTGTACGGCACCGCATAAACCCGTGCTCGCCGCATTGCGGAGTCCGAGGAAGGGCTAAATCATCAGCGTGGACAATCATCACTCACTGACTGTTGTGACCCGCGACTCTGGCACTTGGAGCGATCTTACATGCGCAAGTCTAGCTGTGCATTCGTCGTCTTGGCACGTGCAATGGGTTCATCGCCAAGACCTCATGTGCAGCAGAGTGGTCTGGTCAAGATTGGGAATTCACACTAAACTGACTGCCCGTGCAGCGATGGGAAGCGCTCCCAATGCTCCGCATTCGGCCAATCATACCTCTTCATACTGAGACACGACGAGTGTGTAACAAAGCCGCAAGATGTGTGCATGGCAAGATTCGGTCATCAAGCCTTACACGTGAAATGTTGAGCCTTGCCTAGCGCGCACTTGGCATGGTGCGCGATAAGAAGAGTGGGACCCTAAATCGCTTGGCGAGTCTCATCGCAGAGAATCAGATGTGTGTTCGGCCACGAAGTTCGCCTAGCTGATCCTTGGATGCTGCCGAAAGGTGTTCGTGACTACCAGTCAGAAAGCGGGACGATTCGTCGAAGCGCCAGGCCCCCTTCCCATCGCGTGGACTGACGCGAGCAAAACCCAAACATCTATGATGATGCCCCCCCTCTTTGAAACTTGCATCGGCGGCCTTACGAATGACAATGTTCAAGTCTTGCCAACACTTCTTCATCACCGCTTAAGGCCCTGTTAGCCCTCAGGCTGCCGCTCGAATGCGGCCTGACCATGTTCGGACAGGAACGAATGGGACGCTGGAGGATCCTTGCCGGGACAAAATCACGAATGTTGCAGCGAGAGCCATTCTTCATTCTTCCCACTGGAGCCCACGAATAGCTTGCCAGGTAAGGTGTGCTCCACGGAGAGAACAGCCTTGAGATGGTCACGACGGGTTTATGAAGCCGAGCGACGGCCTTGCGGTGCCAAGGGGGGTCGACTATGGACCTTGACACTTTATGGAGGTAGCATAGGCAACCTCAGGCAAACGGCGCATTCTGGAGCAGAGTAACTTCGTGAGATGTGCTGCGCTGAAAGATCAGGACGACACCCGACTCGCTTAGTTGCCGTTGTTTTATACTTGCGAGGAAGCCCACGCCGTCACTGTTGGCGCTGGATGCAAGCAGACACTTACGTTCGGAACCACGCGAGTCAAAGTGGAATGAACGTGCGGCCGAAT